CCACTGGAGGAGGGTCCCACATGGCACGCAGACCTCTCCTGCCGCCCGCTGCTCCCCTCAGCAGTGTACTTCGATCCTTCTGCCTGCTCTGCTCCCCGCTCTGGCTCTGGTGAATTCTCTCACCCTCCCGTGCTTCTGACTGTACCCAGTGCTTGTATAAATAAATAAAATAAATCTTAAAAAAAAAAAAAAGAAAAAAAGCTATGAAATAAAAAAAAAATTGTTGCTAAATAAAACATTCCTTCCTGAAAAGGTTAACAATGTCTTTAAAAAGCCTCCTGAAAATGTCTTTATTTAGGTATATTCCCCAACTACATCTAGAATCGTATAAGAAAACAAAAAGGTCCAACTCTGAAATTATGGAAATATTAACAATGTACTGATTTGGGGAGGCTAGGATAATTAGTATTTGAAAAATATGACATAATGATTTAATGTTAAATGTAATCAGTTTTGTTCTATCTTTTATCATTAAAATTTATTTAGCAAGAGGACTTTGGAAATTCTATTTACTGTCTACCATAAGCTGATTCCAAAATAACAGCTCAGATTCAATAGGCATTGTCAGCCAGTGGAATGTTAGGCATGAAAACCCGTTTTTCCCATTGGTTACTGTACTGATCACTATATTTTGGAAATTATGATTACCATAAACAGTAAGTCACAATGTTCCGGAAAAAAAGGAAAGGTTAAAATGTTAATAGAGCATACTTTTCTTCATTTATTGAAGTTTTGCTTAGCTAACAAGCTTAGATATAATCTCTGTTACAGGTATTTCCTGTCAGTTAATAAGTGACCGGCTTCTTCAACTCCCAGAGCTGATGATTAAGCAGCAGGAAACTCCCTCTCCCATTATTACTCCAGAAGCACAGGCCAGGATATCTGTGTGGACCAGATGGGGCTTTTTAATGTAGCTGTGGAATGTCCAGAAGACCACTATAAAAGCTAAAGGAATTCAAATGCACTAACTCTGGACTCCTCTGATTGAAATCATTTTGGAAAAGATTTCTGAAAATGACTAAAATCATTTTGAAAATGATTAAACTCCCCCGGCATGTATTTGATGCACTCCGGCAGTCACAAGGCTTGGGAAAAAGTCTTAAACACAGTTTAAGCCCAGCAAAAGAACAAGCACATCTTAGCCATTTCTTAGCCTTGGCTGCTAATTTTTCCTAATCTTCAATTTCCTGTTTAATGTGAAAGGAGGGGCCTGAATTGGGGTTCCCTAATCAATGTAAATGCCTGACTGGGTCAGAGGCCATCAGAAAAGAGGCTGGAATGGGCGGAATCTGAAGAGTACAAGGGCTAGAAAACTGGGAAGTCTTCTGAGGGAGCTGGCATCTCTCAGCTGTTTTGGCCAGGTGGAAATAACCAGACAATCTCAAATTTTATTTTTAAGTGAAATCCAAATTTTTAATGCTGGAAATAAGTCATTTAAAAGCTGTGTGGGAAAAATGCTAATAAATGAAAACAGATAGATGTTGCCATCACCACACATGTCAAAGGAACACAGATTAGCCGTGAGGGGTTGTCTGTTACCTTCGACCCAGGACAGTTTGCATGTCTTTTTCCAGTGTTGTCCAAAGTATGAGCTTCAGAAAATTGGACCCTTTTGATTCATTAGACTGATTTTAGGCCTCAGCATATTTTTTCTTAAAGGGCCAGATGGGAAATATTTCAGAATGTTTCTCACAGTCTGCTATAAAAGCACAGAAGCAGCCCCAGACAATACAAAACTCATGGGCCGAACTGTTTTTCAATAAAATTTTATTTACAAAACTAGGTGGCCTGCCAGAGGTCTAGAAGATGTCTTAGAGATGTTAAGGAACTTTTCTATACTATATTCCTCAGAGCGTATTAGATTATTATAAGGAGGAAATTTATTAATTTTGTTGAAAACACAAAGCATGTTAAGCAAAATAAATCAGAAGGAAAAATATAAATATTGGGTCATTTGATTTATATATAGACTATAGAGAAACCAAACAAAGGGTCGGGAAAAAGACAAACTTGCAAGCTGACCATAGATCTGAGGCATCCAGCAAAGGAAAGGGAAGGACAAGGGTCAAAACAGGGGAGGGAAGAACACAAGGGACTATGGTGATGGATCACGGGTGCTTTGGTGGTGGGAGAAATACAAAGTCTACACCTGAGGGGAGAAATCAAATATTGTCCAAAAACAAAGTACGTAAGCGAATAAATAAGTAAATTTAATAAAAATGAGGGGGAAAAAGCATGGTAACTTCCAGGAAAGCAAGTATTTTCCCCCAGAATGCACACTGGCCAGAAGAAGAAACAGCTCCTAGGCCTTTGTATTTCTCATCTAGGCAAAAATTTGCTTTCCTATTTCAGTACTACTCATCTTCTTCTAGTCCTGTCTATTCAAAAAAAAAAAAAAAGTCTAATCTATACTAGTTAGGACAGCACAGCTTTAAAGTCAAACTTTCAGGGTTCAATTTCTGGTTTGGGTGACACTGGATAAATTACTTAACATCTTCGTGCCTCAGATTTCTTGTCTACAAAATGGCATTAATAACAAAACTCACATCATAAGATCTATGCTGTAGGAAATAAGGCAATATGTGTAAAGTGCTTAAAACAGTGTCCAGTATAACAATGTCTTCAGTTTAAGTAGGTTTAAGTATTTGAAATTATGAATATGCTTAGCCAACTGTGTTTTATTACCTTAGTTTGTCATGACCTCAAATACTGCCCCACAGAAAGGCAAATATTAAATGGTCTATATTTTGACATTTTCATAATGGCCATGGATATGGAGAAAACAGGCCCCTAGAGTAAAAATAATCACCCAGAATATAGCATGTGCACCGTGGCCCTCTCTCCTTGCTGTTTACCACCCCACACCAGACACCTGCCAACTTGATCTCAATTTCCTTGCTGCTATGGGAAAGGCCTCGGGAGTTCCCGAGGGTTGTCTGCAGCTACTCTCAGACTGAGAGAGTGCCGGGAAACACCATTACCTCTTGCCAGGTCTGCAGTCTCCTGCTGGAACAGAGCCACCGTTTACCCTCATTCCAACAACCCAGAAGAAATACCTCTCAAATGACATCACTTCATAGGCTCTTACCATCTGCAGGGTGCCACAGACCATGTGGAGAGGTGTGGGACCCACACAGAGGGGAAGGTATGAGAGCTCCTCAGATCAGAAGTAAAAAAACACAGGCCAGGGAAACTAAACAGGTGGTTCCAGGACTCCACAATGGGTCCCACCGTGTTCTAAGTATTGGAAATGAATTTCTGGTAGAATATTCTCTAAAGTGTATGACTTGTGAATATCAGGCCCCTTCTTCTCTCATATATTAAGACCTATCTCAGTGGCTGAAAATTATGTTATCAACAAAGGACTGATCACAAAAATCTGCAAAGAGCTGATGAGACTCAACAACAACAAAGAAAATAATCCAGTCAAAAAATGGGCAGAAAGCTAAAAAGAAACTTCTCTGAAGAAGAAATGCAAATGGCCAACAGGCATATGAAAAAATGTTCAACATCACTTGTAATCAGGGAAATGCAAATCAAAACTACCATGAGATACCATCTAACACCAGTGAGAATGGCACATATTAAAAAAAAAACAGCAACAACAAATGTTGGCGAGGGTGTGGAGAAAAAGGAACTCTTCTACACTGTTGGTGGGAGTGCAAACTGGTCCAACCACTATGGAGAGCTCTGTGGAGATTTCTGGACCTACTAAACATAGAGCTTCCATATGATCCAGCAATTCCACTCCTAGGTATTTACCCAAAGGACACAGAAACATCAATTCCAAAGAGCACCTGCACCCCTATGTTTATAGCAGCACTATTTACAATAGCTAAGCTTTGGAAACAACCCAAATGCCCAAAAATGGATGACTGGATCAAGAAGATGTGGTACATATACACCATGGAATATTACTCAGCATTCAAAAAAGATAAACACATGCAGTTTGCAGCAACATGGATGGCGCTGGAAGGGCTCATGCTCAGCAAAATAAGCCAGAAAGAAAAAGAAAAATACCGGATGGTCTCACTCATAGCAGGAATCTAGAAAACTTAAATAAGGGACCAGGAAAATAAATAACTATAAGAAAGTGAAAATAAAAAAAAAAAAAAGAAGAAAGTGAAAATCAAAATCAACAAAAAACTATGAATCAGAGACACTCTATGAGGGTAGAGGGCGGGAGGGAAGGGATTGGGGTCAAAATAAGGGGGTTGCAATTGTATGGGGAATATAAAAATAAAATTTATTATTAAAAAAATGCAATAAATAAATAAATAAATAAATAAATAAAATAGGGAAAAAAAAGAAAATTATGTTATCAACACCTTTAATTTAGTCATACAACATTCAAAATTGATAATGAAATGTCTACTTTGTGTTTGAATAAGTCCAAGTAAAATAAGGAATTCCAGAAGGATAGAAATCTATTTTAATATAAATTTTTATTACATAGAATTATTCCCTAGATATTTTGCATTTAGCTGCTTTCAATATTATCACATTTAAAGATTCTTAGGGAGATTATTTGAAACAAAATATAAATCCTCAAATTTTCAAACAAAAAAAGTTTGAATGTATCCATAAAATGGATACATCTGATATTTAATACTGCTGAATAAATATCATTCCTTTGGATGATTTTTTTTAAGTAATATAATAGAAATTTCATCCTAAAATAATAAAGATTAGTTTTTACTGCAACATCTTTGTAATTAAAAATAATAACATAAATTTCTCTTATCTCAGTTCTGGGGTTAACATTTCTTTTGATATACTATAAATAATTATAACTGCTATTAGATAAGTGATAAGCTGGTATTTTATGACACAGGAACACCTTTAAAATGGTAGGACCAAAAGATTTCATTGAATGAGCATGGCTTGTAAGCAGATACTTGTGTATAATGTGTATGTACAAATATGTGTGGGTATGATTTCTTGTTTGTCGAACATATTCATAGAGCAATACAAAAAAAGTGACGATGTCACAGACTCACCACAACTAAGGTTGCTTTCAGCTTTCAGAGCTAGGATTGGGATATTCCAAAAATCATTTTGCCAGTCAACCACATTCCCCTTCGCACTGCAGCTGAGGTTGGAGAGAATTTGGGAATTCATAGTAAAATTCCACAGTCGGAAGTTGTACATGTCCCCTTTGAGAGAGGCGACTTCATTTTGATCAGAGCCCAAGGACAGCTTCCCACTCCGAGGGACAACTTTATTAATGGTAGAGTCACATGGGACGGTTTCATAGTTTCTTTTGAAACTGATACCAATAGAACCCAGAGAATTATTCCAAACGATGCAAAGCTGTTCAAAGCTGTCAGTGAAAATGTCTTCTTTATCCTTTACAGGTAGCACACTGTTTAGTAAGCATTTTGAGCCAGAAATAGATAAAAAGTAACCACTCTTGTTCTTTCCAAAACTGAGTAATTGTGTTAAGGATGCATCTGAATAGGAGAAAGCTGTCCAGTCATTGTCTTCCTTGCCAACTTTGGTGGCTTCAAAGCAAATTGTGAAAGCGCTGAGTTCTGGAATAGAGACACTTTTTGCAACAGATACCTGGTAAGCATCTAGAGTCTGCGGTAAAATGACCTTTTGATTCCTTAAAGACACAGCAACTAGGACAAAACAAAATAACAGATAAACAACATTAACTTTACAGATATGGGCAACAGGATGCAAAAATGTCTAATATACACAACCTTCCACCAACCTCTATTTATTACTTTCACCCACCCATTCCCCATCTCTCCCTTTCTCTGCCCATTCACCCTCTATGACCAGCTTTATAGTAAACCCACCCGTCTGGACTCTACCCATGGCTGGACCTCACATTTCAATTACATAGACAGTCAAGTTGATAACGAGTTTGGTGTTTTTTTTTTTTAAATCCCTGAACTGAAACACACACACACACACACACACACACACACACAAACCATCACTTTCAAGTTCTGGTTATACATTTTGATTTTCAGAACTAGTATTTTTCAAGTAATTTCTAAACATAATAGCTAAAAGTTCTGTTTTTCCTTAATAATTGTCTTTCGTTCTTCCCAAACCAAATCCCCTTCAGGCACACCATATCCTACTGCTTTATCCAATTGCCAGTCTATCTTAGGAACAAAGCAAAATGATTTCATGGGTGAGAGGGAGTCCATAAAAGAAATGGAATTTCAAACTATATTTTCTTTACATCTGGGCATCTGAACTAGATTTTCGAACTAGTAAAGAGTTAAAAGGGCAGAGGATCCTAGCTCTTCCACAAAGAGCTATGACCTTGGGCTTGATATTCACCCTGCTCTGTCTTAGCTCTTTGTAAAATAAAGGACAGTAGCATTTACTGCATAGGTGTTCAGTAATAATTAAATTAGTTAAAACATGCAAAGCAATAATGCAATACTTTGCTACAGTCAACATATAGCTACTATTGATTATTAATATAGATCACTAGTATTATATACATAACAAATTCAAATCATTAACATATTCAGCCTGCTCCTTTCGTGACATATGTGAAATTATTGAGTAATATAATGGTTTTAGCCCTATGCTAATATAATAGACACTGTGAAACATTATGATCTGATTTGGGAGAAATAGCTCTCTTCAAAAATAGTTTAATACTGGTTTCACATGAATGCTAATTTGAATGTATATTAATATACACCAAGATAGGTCTATGGTAAAAACATCATTTCAATATAAATATGCTAGCTAAGAATTCATGATAGAATTTAATAGAATCATGAATTTTTGTCTACTTTTTAATATAAAGCAGTTTAGATTCATTTGCCCAAAGGGATACTTGTATAATATGAAACAAGTGGTCTATATGCATTTCTAAAATTAAAAGGTTAGAAAGATATATATATGTACATATAAAATTAACATTTTATTATTGGTTATGATTAAGTATGGTTATACAGGTAATTCTAGCTAGCTATTTTTATTTTCAAATTGCATAGAATATTTTAATAATTCTTAAAACATTATATTTCAAAAATTAAAGCATGCATGCTTAAATCACCCACATATACACTGAATGTCAACCACAAACAGTAAATAACTGATGCCAAAACACAATTTATAATAACTCAGGTCAATCATTTTCACAGCTATACCTTCCTTTTCTGTTTCTTGGTTTTATACACAATATCTATTTAAGGAACTCAAGAGGAAAAAATGGGTATGACTATTTCTCATCATCTTGAGTTTTCTTTATGTTGAAACAAGTTTTAGTGATGAGCTTATTTAAATTATGATATGCCATTGTCTGGGAAATATATTTGATAAATGCTATTTTATTTCCTTCAATTGGCCATTTTCAAGGGACTTTTTCAGGCTATTTTGTTTATTAGCTTAAGTTATAAATAGCTCTTTTTATTTTAATTTATAAGCTAATTTCCTCTATTTGTACCCCAGCAGAGGTCCTTAAAAGGGCAACATTTTCAAAACCTAAAATAAAATTATTTCAAAATAGGAATGTTTTAAATGTTCAGTGAAGAGATGATAGAATTACAGATTTTAATTATTAGCTGTGGAATATCTGCAGTGTCTTCCAAACGGCCTTTTAATGTTCTACTTATAAACAATATAAAAGAATTCAGCTCTACTGTAACCAGATTTTGGATCTGGTAACTATATGCCACTAATGAGACTACTCAGAGAATATTAACAGATTCTTGCTCTTTAATTCTAATCCTAATCACTCACATTCACATAAAAGAGCATAACTCTGTCTTCTGGTCTTTGTGTTTATTGTAGAACATGTTAAGTGAAAGCAGAAGGTTGGCGCTGCCTTTGGTTTACATACCTCTGATGTAGCTGGCATTGAAACCTTTCTTCTGGATGCTAAAATCACTTGAAAAGGACACATGCATCTCATTCGCACTTGAGTTAAACGATAGGCCTTTGGCGGTTGCGCCACAAAATTTAGTCTGGCTCTCTCCATTATCAAGGGATAATGAGTCATAGATGCAATTGGGAGCTTCTTCAATGTCGAAGTCATTAAATGTTATCTGGATGATATAGCCAGTGGGGGCTCGCAGCGTCCACCCGCAGGCCTGGGAGTTAGGGTAGTCATTAGGGTAGCATGGAGAAGTGAAGGTCCCAGAAGGGCTGGAGAGGACAAGTCTGCAGTTGGCACATCCCCACACTGTTGGCCAGACACAAGAGAGACAGAGAGAAGGGCTGAGATCAGATTAGTATAATAAACCACGAATACCACATACTGGGGACAAACAGTAAACATTTTACAAAACCAAATATAACCATGAAAAGTAAAGGCAAGTGAAACCAGTTCAAAGAAAAACAATAGCTCAACAAAAATGTTAAAGAAAATACACACTTTTAAAGCAATGACTCTTAAACTGGGTAGGGGGAGGGGGTCATCTATTGTGGGAATCTGATGAAAGTTAGGGGTCCTCTCCAGTAAGAAGCAAGAGTCATCCAACTTGACATTCTGTTTTAGGGAGAACCAGAGGCCCTGAATGTCATGATGGATTTCACAAAGTTAAGAGTAACTGGGGTGAAGGGGTCACAAAAATATGAAGGTAGAACTCAGTGTTAAAAACTATGGATACAAAGAAAGAATCTCTTAGGAAATGTTTACATTGAAAGCTACCAATACAAAATTTTTTAGAGGGGTCTTGTGGTGGATTGTACTTTTTCTAAAATTCAAATAAAAAGCATCACCTAATGTGTGTGGAATATTCATAGTTCTGAAAGTACTTTCATTATCCAATTCTTCATAGTGGTAATTACACACCTGTTTGTTTATCTCACTTACGCATGCATTCAGAAGTACTTGCGTGTGTCTGATATGTCAGGCACTAGTCTAAATGATATATACCCATAAGCAGGAAGGGCAAAGTCTTCGAATGCTTCTTACACTTCAGTTTTAGACCCAAAGTGAAACAAATACTAAAGACAGGAGTTAATAAGAGGTAGGAAGATGGGGAACATGATCAATTATATCTCAATTATCACTTATGTAGGGCCTGTCCAACAACTGGAACCAGAAACCAAAATCAACTATTTTCTTATTTAGCGATGCTTTTACACTTACTATCATGTTATTCTTTAATATTTGTGTAAATGAAAACAGCAATCTCATTCAGCTTATTTTCTCGATTACAATTAAAAACACTGCCATAGAGAGTGCAAACTGGTCCAACCACTGTGGAGAGCTGTGTGGAGATTTCTGGACCTACTAAACATAGAGCTTCCATATGATCCAGCAATTCCACTCCTAGGTATTTACCCAAAGGACACAGAAACATCAATTCCAAAGAACACCTGCACCCCTATGTTTATAGCAGCACTGTTTACAATAGCTAAGCTTTGGAAACAACCCAAATGCCCAAAAATAGATGACTGGATCAAGAAGATGTGGTACATATATACCATGGAATATTACTCAGCATTCAAAAAAGATAAACACATGCAATTTGCAGCAACATGGATGGCGCTGGAAGGGATCATGCTCAGCGAAATAAGCCAAAAAGAAAAAGAAAAATACCGGATGGTCTCACTCATAGCAGGAATCTAGAAAACTTAAATAAGGGACCAGGAAAACGAATAACTATAAGAAAGTGAAAATCAAAATCAACAAAAAACTACGAACCAGAGACACTTTTAGGGGGGCGGGGGTGGGAGGGGAGGGATTGGGGTCAGAATGGGGGGGCTGCAATTGTATGGGGAATATAAAAATAAAATTTATTATTAAAAAAATAAATAAAAATAAAAACACTGCCATAGAAAGGACATATATACTTTCAAACAATAAAATCCTTTAACCCCACTAGTGGAAATTACTTTCAATTTATTGTGGCCCTCCCTCTTTTACTGAGTTAAGTAGAATAAATACAAAATGACTTTTCTTGAGAATGACAGTTATTGCAAATACCACTTATTCTTCTATGAGGCAGTCACAGATGCAACAGATATGTCATTCTACCCCAGTGAGGTTTTTCCTTTTTCTCTTCCCAGTGGCCACCTCATCTTGAGCACAGTTCTGCCTCGTCAACTCTGCTTCCCATCCATGTTGTCTAATTTGTCTGCCCTCTATTCTTCCTCCCAAAGTCTCCAACATCTTATACCAGGTTGAAGACACACGGGAAAACAAAACACCATCAAGTGTCCACCAAAGCCTCCTCTTATCCGGCTCAGGTGCACGTGTTCCTCTTCTTTGTAGCACAAATTGCGTGACTTTGATTTGTCAATGGAGCGCAACGAGCAGAGGGTATGCCTGACCATGTTCTCCATCATCTTTTTCCTCAGGACCACACTGTGTCTCTGGCAGTTTCAATACAATTGGACATTTATAAACAAACGGGAACATGTCCAAATTAAAGAATGACTAATTATGGTAAATGAAACTAAGCTTTGAAAAAAGCCTACACTTCTATTATGGAAACAACGATGTATGCCAATATAATATTTACTCATTATATAATACTCAATAAAAAAATTTTAAAAATGTCTACATCCAAAATAAATATAAAGAATGCCTGAGCTCTGGAATATCTCTTTGGACGGGGTTTTGGGGCTTTTCCAATTATTTCACTCATTGACCAGATTTGAGTTGACTGGGCCTCTGAGATAAATTTAGCTTCATGTGACTATACCTTGGGCTCAGGAGAAAGAAGTAATCCTAGAAAACTAACAATATTTATACAGTGATAGGCACTGGCAATTAAGAAAGGAAAATAAGATACAATCTATATATGTGTCATGGGAACATGCAGGTAGTATCATTTTCCCAAAATGAGTCAAGAAGCAAATAATGTTCATAACTTCCCTTACCCAGATAAATTATTTTCCTGCCAACATCTTCCCCAAGAGCATCAAGGTACAGGAAAGTTCAATCTGACTGACTACTATGTAATCTTGAGTAAGTGATTCTCTGTACCTCAGTTTCACCACCTTTATGCTGGTGCTATTAACACCACTGCCTCGCAGGGCTATGTGGGGAGTAAATAGGTGAGTACTAGAATGTTTTGGGAGCTATACTGGGCACATAGTTACCATGACTTTAGTGTTGGCTATTATTAATCATTATTATTATACAATATACAATACCTTTACAACTGTACTTTAGATGAGGAAAATGTCCATGTTAGTAGAAATTCCTTTTCCCTTAGGCACTCATTGGGATAGAAAACGCATAATATTCATTTAAAAAGCATTTAAAACATTCTTCTACATGATTATCATTTATGATTAGCATTTAGAGACAGTACTACTAAATAGTGGTCTTAACTGGATAAAATGTCACTTAAACTGAGCACAGAATCACTGTTCATTACACTTATAGATCACTTCACAGTAAAGGTGCTTTCACTTACACCATCTCGTTTGACATCTTAACCATGGGGATTAATACTATCTCCATCTTTCAAAGAACTGAATAGACTAATACAGATTAGATAACTTGCTTAAATCTAATTTACAGCAGGACCAAGTGTCAAACCAGCTCTACTGAATACAAGTAGAGTTTTTCTAGGAAATAAATAAGTGCCACAATTAAAAGATCCAGGGCAAAGTGGTGAGCTCAAGTACTGTTTTAGGAAATAGCATTTTTAATGGGCAATTTCTTAAACATAGTAGCATCACCCTAAAATTAATATATTTTAAGAAACTAATTTTTTTAAAGATTTATTTATTTATTTATACAAGCACTGGGTACAGTCAGAAGAGCAGGAGGGTGAGAGAATTCACCAGAGCCAGAGTGGTGAACGGAACAGGCAGGCTGACGAAGAAATACACTGCTGAGGGGAGCAGCAGGCAGCAGGAGAGTCTGCGCGCCATGTGGGACCTTTGCTGGTGGCCAGGGTTTGAACCGGTACTGCAGAGGCTGCCGGCAGATTCGCAGCCCAGCGCTCAACCGCTGCGCCACCAGGGGAGGCCCCGAAACTAATTTTTAAATATATTAGTAAAGTATGTTAGAGAGTCTAAAATACAGTGCTTTGGATTTGTCCATTTGAAGCAAACAAATGTCACTGCTAATTGATTCTTATGCTTTGAGCTAGTTCATTAAGAAATTACTTTGTTCTCTCCTAAAGGTAGGGTTACTTAAAAAGATGACTACTGAAGTAGCTACTGAATGGAGTCTTGGTAAAACCAGAGTGCACATATCTCCTACCCAACTCAAAATATCTGGTTCAAGATATTCTCAAAGACAGAGTACCATACTCACATCTATAATTAATAAATGCAAAGTTTTCAGGTAATTTCAACAAACAAGACAAATTCTACCCTGTGCTTGCAAATGTTTAGCAGTTATTCATTTACACATGAATAACTTGTTCGTTAATGAAACTGAAATCTAGAATGGAAAACCTCCCAGCTGTGCCAAAGCCTATAGCCACTTACAACAACTAGAGACAGAAACAATAACCACTATTTTACTGAGTTTTTTTTTTTTTATCTCAGAGATTTGGATTCTTCAACTTGTTACAAGTACTTCTCTGTAAGTTAAATACTATGTTCTTTAAAAATCTCTCAAAAATATCGCCCGCTGCTCCCCTCAGCAGTGTATTTCAGTCAATCTCCCTGTTCTGTTCCCCACTCTGTCTCTGGTGAATCCTCTCACCACCCCCCACACCTCTGGCCTGTACCCTAGTTCTTGTATGCATAAATAAATTTAAAAAAAACTCTCAAAAATAGTTTCAAGTCCAGAAAAATAAATCAAAAGAAATCAATTTTGCTGCTTTTAACACAGATCTGCACATGGCATAACCACTTTTCCAATAATGGTTTACATGGTGACCAAAATAAATGCATTTAAATTAAATCTTGTTCTTTATTTGAATGTCTATAAAACTGTTGCTAATATACTTGCTGAAAACCCGGCTGATGAAAATTATGTCCAGAAAATTTAATTTCCATTATCTTCTCAATTTGCATCTATTTAAAGTCATTGTTTGAATTATCGATGTGACTAAATTAAATTCTAATGAATAAAAAGTCCATTAGCTGTTTGGAAAGTATTAAGTTATTGTGGTTTCTGAAGATAAGATCCAAGAGACAGCAATTGACAGCTCTAAGGCCAGTTCTAAGGTCTAAACCACACCAAAGCTGGGATAACTTTATATTCCTGGTTGAGTAAAATCAACCATATGCAAGATCATTAAAATGTAAACTATAACTTAT